GTCACATGTTGCTTAAGAGATTCTGAGACTGTATCCAAAGCAGCTCCATATTCAACGGGGAAAAAAGAAAATCATGTCAAATCTGATAGTCTTCTGATGTGTTCCATTAGTTGTGGATTTCTACAAGGATTCTTCAAACAAAAATTTAATTATTATAAGCAGCAATGGCCTTACCCAAGATGCCACAAATAAGGTAACAGAAGCATGTCAAAGTGGTACCATTTGTGCTGAAATTTAACTATTCTACAGCAGCTGAAAGGGTTGAAGATCACCTTGTTCGTCAGAGGTATATTAGAAATTATTTGTAACAGCGGCTCCAGTATTTCTCCAGTATTCAGAGAAGTTTGGAAAAGTATTTTCACACAATATGTGTCCAAAATTTTTTTTAAACTATCCTCTGCATTTTATTTGTCATGTAAAAGTTTGTTACTAGAGACTACAGGCCAACTGCCCATCCAAAATAAGCGGCAATGTTAGCTGGAGGAGAAGAAACAAAAACCAGCTTACACTTCTAGGATATTTTCTTTCATTTGAATGATAATGCTTTATAAGAGTTCCAGCTGAAAGTGAGGGCTTATATAGTTTGATTCAATGCAAAAGCAGTGCACAGTGTATGGAGAGAACACAGAGAAGTACACACAGTAATTATTTGACCTGAGAAATTTGTATAAAGAGTTTTGGGAAAAAGGAGAAGAAATAAAGATGTTAAGTTGATTCTGTTACAATTAAAATAAAAGTACATGAAGTTTTGCTTAAATTCCTCTAACTTTGCTTTTTATTTGAGAAGGATGTGAGAAGCTTGATTTTAATCTGGACTAGCCTAAAGGAGCTGCATTATTTCAACATTCTTTTATTTTTGGGCTCTGTAATATGGTAGTCTATGACAAGTGAAGAATCACAGCATAGAAAGAGCAAATGTTCCCTTGATGAATACCACCACAGTTTTTACTGACACCAGGGAACATTTTCCATAAGCAGGCAATTCAGCTTCTCAAAATAACACCTGGAATAATGGATGGTAACATTTACATGCACAAAATGGATAATTCCACACTTAGGATGAATTTAGAGCTTCTGTAGTGAGTTTAACTTTGAATTCAAATTATTTTCACATGCCTGTGTCATGGCAGAGTGTGATTACCTCAGCTTTTCAAAGTTAGGTTGCTGAAGATACTGAAGAAAGAATTTTGGAAACATGCTTCCTAATCATAGAATTCGATTTTCACTAAGGATGTGGCTTTGATACATTATTTACTTACCTGTTCTCAAACATATTTACACTTTTCAAAACCTTTCTTTGTTCAGTTTGTGCCCAGACTGCATGTCCTTGTTACCAGGTTCTGCAGAAAGTATGAGGGAAGTGGCATCTACAGTTTGGTGCAGCTCCAAAAGATGAAACAATATGAGGGAAACAAACATGAGTTTTGATTTTTTTATCTCCTTTTATTTTGTGAGTGTTCACTGCATTAGAATATCCATACCAGCAACTTTTCTGCAGATATCAAATATCTCAGCTTTGTTTCAGTGCTTAACCAGCTGTAAAAGATGTTTTATTGCCTTATTTCACCATTTAAGTAAATCACTTCAGTGTTGTATTATAGATGACTGTAAAAAGGAGATTTTTTTTTTTCAGTTACAGTGACTAGTGACCAGGTATCTACACGAACTAACATATTTGGAGCAAGCTGCAACCTGTCCTGCAGTTATTTGAGAGAGGGGAGTATGTACTCCTTTCCCCACGAGTAATGCAGCAATCTACATGCCCGGCTGCTGAGGACCAGCTGGCTGCTGTGTGCTATCAGAGCTGCTTGCCAGCAGGCACAGCTCATTAAGAGCCCAGTTGCAGGATATAACATCTTTGCAGTCAATTAACAATGCTGCTCTTTAAAAAGGTCCAGATCCTTCCTGATTCGGCAAAGCACTTCAATATATGTTCAAAGTTAAATGCTTGATTAAAGTTTTGTGTAATGAAAATGTTAGGTATTGTGCTTGAGGTTAAACAGGTAGGCACATTACCAAATCAGGGCCTGACATGTTATGGTTCTTAGAGGTTTCCAGGAATCTTGAATATCCTGAAATACTGACTATACTGACTTCCAAGCTGAGTAAAACCTACAACTGAAAAACAAAATCACAACACATGACTGTGAAGCATGCAGGAAAACCTTTTAAAATCTGTAGCTGGTCATCATTGATGCTTGTCTTGCCAAGAAAATACTAGGAGACTGTTTACATTCTTGAAACCTTAAAATAAATGTAAAAAATGACACAAGTCTTGTCATCTGGAAATGGTGAAAAAAAAAAACCTATTTGGTAAAATGAGTTTATTCTTTGAAGAAAGAAGCAATGAGAGTAATTAAATTGTTATGCACTTCCTGACTGTAATATTTCTCATTGAACAGGGTTGTATTTTGTAGCCTGCTTCCTGTGGTCAAGTAAAGGAATGAGTATTAGGAAGACCAAAATTCAAGCTTTTGCCTTATCATTTTATGTAACAATGTCTACCAGTTTCCCATGCTTCTTTTCTGTATGACATCAGCTCAGCTATTGGAATATCCTACTGATCACTCATTGCAGTAATAGGCAGATGTCTTTGTGGGTCAACAACAGAATCAAAGATAATCTCTCACTGATTTTGATCGGGTCAAAACACCTTACTGTGAGACCTGGACTTGGTATTTTCTGTAATAGTATGTTGTATTGTCAGAGCTCACTGCTTCATCTTCTGCAATGTCTTATCTTCTTATATCCCCACTAATAAAGTGCAAAGTCCCAGCTGACTGCATTGAGTGTAGTTTGAAACCTCAAATAATTTTTAAAGAACTTGTTATTTCTGGTGAAGCATCCTCTGAATGTGGAATGTTTCATACTTCCTCTTATTTACTTTGTCTTGTTAGAGAAGAAGTTGAAATAAGCTTCCTGGTGTGTGTGTGACACCTTACTCGTATGTTTTCAAATTTTGTTTTCCATCTGATTTGGGTTCGAATATTATTTTGCTTTTAATTTATTGTTTGGACCTGAAAGTTAAAATAAGAGAGCCAAAACAAATGCGTCTCCTGTACAGAGACTATCTAGAAGTAGTTGGAATTGGATCACAGCCTGTAAGGCAGGCACAGCACCCCTGAGGTATGTCATCCATGCCCATGGAATTGGTTCTAGCTGCCCTGGACATCTCTGGGGCTGGTGATAATAGCTTCTGGCAGCCCAAAAGGTAAGGCAGGAGTCAGATTCTAGGGTGTCTGCCTCTTGTTTCCACTCTCAGATTCACTGGATGTGTTCATGGGTAATACTCAAAGATTTTGCAGAATATCGTGTTTCATGTATGTGGGGGAAATTTTGGGTTTAGTTGGTGCAGTGCTTGATTACCTCAGAGATGCAGGCTTTGGAAACAGTAAAATCCAGGGAGCTGAGGCAAACCCTGCTACAAGACCAGCCCCCAGATTCCACATCCATCATCAGCCCACTACAAAGCTGATGTTCACTGACAGCCCTGCCTTTCCTTGCCCCAAATTCCATGTTATTTCAGAGGCAGCAGTTTGGCTTCAGTGATAGATGCCTCCTGAGGTGAAAGCATTTGCAGCAAATGTCCAGCCCCTTTCAGGCATGGGGGTGAGCCTGAGCTGGGAGGCTCCATCAGAAAACAGACAAACTGGAAGAGTTCAGACTACATGTGGACTTTGCCACTGATTAAATGGAAATAATCCTGCTCAGACTCTAACAGCTGAGTTGAAGCAGAAATTTTAAAAAGAAAGAACTTGGATCACAATTTTATGGCTATCTCTAAAATATTTTATTGCTGGTTTATGACACCAGAGTGTAAATTATGGGGCTTTAAAGAGTTGCATTGTGAAGATTTATCCTTTGCTTATGTACAAAACATAAGTACTACTGTTTTGTTTTCAGGGAAATTAAATACATATTTTTAAGTGCTGTCTAGGAAGCCAAGTGGGTTAGTAAGAAGAACACCTTACTCTTTTTATTTTTAAATTTTTCTTAATTTTATTTTCTGTGTAGAACTGTATTTTTATGAGTTAGTAATGAGTAATTATTTTTGGTCAACTGATGCATGTCAAAAAATTGAAAAGAAGGAGAGGTGAATAAGTGTGTATTGCATGCTTGCAAATACCACTACAATGGAAATAGTGTGTCTAACACCATGTGGATCAGAGAAGAAATGTCTTCTATTACACGAGTTGCTGCAGAAAAATATCTTTTGGAAGCACAAGCTATTTCTCAAGTCTGAAACAAACCTTATATAGTTTGTGTGTAGATAAAATTGGCTTATACTGTGTGCATACATATATACATGTCTACACAAATGCAGTTCTGTAGCTGCAACAACAGCTACCATATTGTCTCATTTGCGTTGAAACTCTAGGACATGTTATCCATTCTTAGAAGAGAATTGTAACAAATGAAAATGTTTAGTTTCCTATTATGTTTTTAAAGCTAACTTAAATCTATGTAATTCAAGAAATGTGTTGTATTTTGTAGACCAGAATTTAAAGATCAATTCCTTTTGGATGTAACTTCATCAAGATCCATCAGTACCTTACTCTGGTCTTTATCTCTTGGGGTTTATATCCAATATTCCTTCAGATTTTTCTCCATCCTATGTCAAGCTGACTCACTATTATTTCCTTCTGCTGTTTCATGCTGAGTTACCATAGGCAGAAAAAATGTTTTCAGCTGCTCCTTTTAGTTAATATTCTTGTTCAGTAGACTCAGCTAAAGTTTTCAAAAGTTATTAAACAATTGTGTCTGTGAACTCCATGCTATTCTCCTATGCCCAACCTTGGCACCCATTTCCTTTCTAAGCTCTGGGAATAATGCCAGTTTGTATCTATTTGGATGCAACTGGGGTGTGATTCTGCTGTTCTTGAAGACTGGAAGGACTGGGAGGGGACAGGAGTAGCCATAGTGGTGTGAAATGCCTGTTTTTATTGATTCGAAATTATTATTGTTCAAATTTCTCGTATGTAATGTCTCTATTATCTTAGGAGATTTAGATGGATCACTCTGCCAGCTGTCAAGGCCAATACTGCTCTACAGCCCCTGCTCTCAGCCACATCCTCAGTGTCCTTGTGGCAGGGTGTCTTGGTAGGACTGTGCAGATCAAGCTTCACACGACCTCTGCACTTCAGTCTCTCTGTGCTGTAAGTACACTAAATAATGTTGTGGCTACTTGGCATGCCCAAGCTGGTTAACTGGAAGTGCTTTAACTTAACTTCTGGAAAACTTACTGTGATTTTGATGATTTTATACTTTTTAGGTGGATGAACCTATGTACCTGCCTCAAATAAATATGAAAAGTGCTTTTATCTTGATCTATTAGTCCCTGTAATCACCATAAGTTTCCAATGATTGTAGGGTATATGGGTATTTTTCCTCTAGTGCATTACAAACATGCTGTAAACAACACAAAGGCTATATTTTACAGGCAGCATCTGATAAAAGTAATTATGTTGCTGCTGTTCCTAACAAGAAAGGGAGGAGGTGCTTTTAATTATTTTGAATCTCTTATATGTCTAGTGGTAACTCTGAGTATATAGACAGGGGTGGGGAAACAACACTATGTATAGAGGTGTTCATTCTCCAGCTGTGAGAAAGACATGTTTGCAACCTAACTGTACTTGCTTCAGCTGAAATAAACACTTTTGGGAAGAATTTGGCTGAATGGTTATTTTTGGTCTGGCAAAGGGAAATTGACTGAGTGACTGTTATTACCCTGATGCCAATTACTGGAACCGACCAGCTTAGGGGCAGTTTGCTGACTTTGTTTAAAAACAAAACTGGTCTTTCTGGGTCCAGCTGTGATTTAGGAAGGGAGGAGCTCTAAACCACTTTTTTTTTTTTTTTCTTCCTTTTAGAAAAATAAATTTAAATTATTTTTTTTAAAAAGTTTCATAGATGAAAACATTATCTGAACTCCACATGGTGTGGGATTTAGGGAATTAACAGGATGGTTCAGATATACAATCCTCACATTCATTCCCACTCCTGAGAACTTTCCTTAAGGAATAAAATTTCTTTCCTGCACTTGGTCGGAAACAAAACAAACTCAAACCCTTCTCTCCCTTTTTTTTTTTTTCTCTCTTTTTTTTTTTAAACTGGAAAGTAGCACAACTAATAAACCAAACATTAAGCTCCAGCACACACTGTAGGCCAGTATAATCTCAGGATATGAGTGGTTTGATTTCATCAGGCATTTGCAGCACTCCTCCCTGTGAACACTTGGCTGATACGTTGTCCCATCACTGCTTCCCTTTCCTCTCCCCTGCTCCATATGGAAACATGTGACAGCAGGAGCTGAAGGGTGGTTCAAAGTGTTGTCTTGTCATATTTTCTCCTTAGGGAGTGGGACAGAAAGCGCTGAGAATGCTGCCTCGTGTATTGGTTTGCATCTCTGTGAGAAGACAGACCAAGGGCAATGCCTGAGCTCTGACCTTGGGCACGAGAAAGTTGTGATCCTGCAGCCCCACTGCTCTCTTAATGTAACTCTGGTTTCCTTTTCCTATATGTGTGTGTGGGGGAAGGTCACATAAGCTGCAGTGAATTTCTCCAGCATGAATTCACAGTACTCAGACTGTGCAGAATTCCCAAGGTGAGCACCAGAAGAATTTTATGATGGATTGGTTTCCCACTCTTTCTCCTTTTGTTGCTTCTTATCAAAACCAAACAAACTCAAACAAAACATATCCTTTCATTTAAGCAGGAAATAAAGGAAGCTTGTGGAACTTGGTGCTTGCCCATGCTGCAGTTTATTTTAAGTGCCCATGGGCACCTGTATTTTCTTGCTTTCTTCTTCACAGGTTTACTTTCCTTGGTGCCCATTGTGAAGATATGTTTTAAAAAATCCTCTGCCATAACATTTAATAATTTTTTAATTTACAGTCAAACTTTTTTCTCACGTTGATTATATTTCCTCACTACCCAGAAACTTCTTTGTCCATTCACTTATTCTATTGCTCTTTGAATCAGGAACATTCTCTTAGCTTGCTCATGTGTTTTCTGGTCCACAGTTGAATCAAATAGTACCAAACCTACCTGGTGATTTCTTGATTTTCCCTTATAATATACTTATATTTTTTACTCCTAATATTTTTGTTTCATTATTTTTATTGCTGGCATTCCCTGCCAAATTGAGGCCTTATTGGTCAAGCTGTCTGACCTCTATCTTTGTTCGTAGAGTCTCCATGGACTCCTAAAATTCAGCTGAGTTCAATTGATTGTTTCAAGCTTCTCTGCACTTCCATTCTTATCTCATACCTGCTTTTCTCACTGTGTCTTCAGTTTGGGGGAACAAGGGAAGTTTACTAAATACCTTGCAGCCTGTTCCCTCTCACTGTCACAATCATAGACAACTAGATCAGCAGCTGCATTACTTACTGCATTCTAAAGACAAATACAGCCTAGAGGAGGATCACGGTGGCTGCCTGCAATATATTGCCTTTCACCACCTTGCTGATTCCCATTTTTCTCTGCCAGATGCTGCCAACACCCTTGTCTCTAAGGTGCTTCTGTAGTCCTGTGTCTCTCCCGCCTTTCCTCTACCTGATGTTCCACTGGTATTTAAATCCACATCACCTGTGTTTTTATTATGCTCAGAGGTGGAAACTATGCCCAATAATTTTTTTTCATCCTTCAGCTTCCTTTTGTTTTGTCTTAAATATATTCAAGGGGGAAACAGGAGGAGGGATAGAAAAGGAAGGGTTCGGTCTAGACTTCCAAAGCAATTTCCTTTTCCCTACAGAGCACAGCTCATTTCCTTCCAGAGCAATGTGTCTGGGAAGTTGCACATTTCTTCTCAGCACTGACTTTCCTGAAATATGTTGAGTCAAAGCACAGCTACTAGGCGGGATCCAGAGGACCATAAATGGGAGTGTGAGAGTGTTTTTGTTGCTGACAAGCAGGAGAATAAACAGAGATTAACATAGAAAGGAGAGGAAAGTCTAGATAAGCAGCCATAGTGTGGAAATTTTGAAAAAAAAAAATAGACAAATATCCATAGACACACCTGCACTTGGGCGTTTCTGCACCATGGGGCCTCACAGGGCTTATTTTTGTCATAAATGTCTCAAGAACAGAGAACTGAGCAATGTGGAAGTTGATGATATTCCTTGAGGGTTAATTACAAGTTCTTGCCTTTGGGGGAAAAAAAAAGTAATCGTTTATTGTTCTAAATTTAACTCTTTATACTTTACATTTAGCTCAAGACAGGAGAGTTCTTTTTCTTTAAAATGCATTTGTGTTTGCTGATTTTTAATAGTTGCCATTTAGTACTGTGGCATCCACTCTTACAGGGTTTCAAGTGTTTGCTTTAAATCACACTAATAAATTGGTTTAAGTCAAATTAAAACCAGACTGAAAGAGTACTGTACTCATGACTGAGCAACTTGCCTCCTCCAGAGAGTTCAATATACTCTGCGCTAAGATTTTTTCAAATGAATTAAATTCAGTTTGGAAAGAAAATTCTTGGGAGGAAAAAAAAAGTGATGAGATCATAATCTGTCGACTCCATGGAGTTTCTAATTTAGTTGGTGCCTAAATGTGTTTGTTTGCTTAAAAGATGAGATTTTTCTTCTGTGTTGAGAGTGTGTAGAGACATGAGCAGGAAGATAAGCTGGAATCTCACTGTGTGTTTGATGTAAGATAATTATTTCATCCATTCCACTTGTTTTTTGTTTAGCAAGACAATTCACATGGTGTGCATTGTCCTGCCACCAGTAATTGCAGATGTGTCTGAATAGCTTATACTTATTTCTGAGTCTGAAAAAGCTCATAACTGATTTATTGTGTTAATTGTCAGAAAATGTACAATGAAACTTTAGAGAAGTGCTTCCAAAAGTACTAGGTATTACAGTTATGCAGGAGCTTGAGTTGGTTGATATTTTTTAGTGGATGAATAGATGAGAAAACTTTACATTTTGTCTCAAAAGTGAAAGCTCAGCATACTATAGGCAGAAGAGCTTTAAAAGGTCTCCTGCTTCTCAGGCCCCTTGCTTTGAAATCCTAACTACAGAAAACCCTTTGCAATTAGCCACAAGGTTAAACGCCACAGTGTTTGCTACTCTCCTGATTAATAACATTTTTCCATGCTAAGGAAAACATCTGGCTTAGGAAGAGGTTGTGTAGGGCTGGGCAGGCACTGGTTACTGCATCCACTCAATCTTCTTTCACTTGGTAGTGCCAACGTACTCGGGCCTCATAATCTGGAGCTGCTGTCTGGCATGGGAGATTTTTGTAAGGGGAAGAAAAAGAGTGCAGTGCAATGCAAAGACCTTGTTGTGGAACTTACACTGCAAATTATAGAGTTTTTTTGTGGGACTAAAGGGTGCTTCTTTTTGCTTGCTTCAGTTGGATTGCAGGAGGCCAGACTTCTACAACTTTTCCATTTGCAGAGGTACCTCTGCAGTGAAAAGATGTGTAGCTGGTAGCTGAAGGTCCTTGAGTTTGTTATAACTTACTATAATTCAACCAGCTGTATTGGGCTGTTTGGCCCAATTTTTCAACAGCTGTAGGTGGCAAGGAAATTTCTATTCTGTTAAAGGGAGTTCTGGCAGTCCCAGGTATTCAAGATGAAATGGAGGTGGGGGGAAAAAAGATGGTTATGACATTCTGCAGGTATCATCTGCAACTGAGGAATCACCGTGGGCTTTTTTATTATTCCTGAAATGTGTACCTCTTTGTGGCTCAGATTTTTTTTTTTTCTTTTGCTTTTGACATGTTTGCTGTCTTTTATCAGTTCCAAGCCTGCATTTATTAGATCGGCTGAGAGTGAGAGGCAAAGATGCTGCTGTTTTAGGGGGAGAATGGATACACAGCCAATACAAACAATTTAAAAAATGCTACTTTTGTAGATATGATTGTGACATTATGCACTCTGACCAAGAGAAGAAAATGGAATAGTACATAATATTTTTACTCTGTCAGTAAAAAAGACAGGGCAGAATCTTAAACTTTAAGGTTTTTTCCATCTAAGTTTTTCAAATGTGCACTCTAGTGGTACTTGTGATAGCAGGGGTAGGATGAATTTTCAGGCACAAATTGAGGTTCAGTGTGTTTGTACATGCAGATGCTCGGTGTTGCACAAAGCAGGGCGGTTCTAGAGAAAACAGCAGTTGTGTTCCTGGAAAGCCAGGATTTGAAGTAGGGCTGTGTTAAGTGCTGAATGAAACAGATCAAAATATACAGAAGGAAAAAAAACAGGGTATCTAGCTTTGTTGTCTACCATCTGGAAGGATTGCAGAGCCTGTGCTGGGTCCCAGGGTCTGTCAGTGCCATGTTGTATGACCTTAATAAAGAAATGGTATCTCAAAGTTCCCAAGGTCTTACATTTGTAAAATGAGAACAATAAGCAAGATGCCCTGAGTTCTGTGAATAAAAAGGTGCTGTTTAGTACTGCTACTACTACCACTAATAATAATAATAATAATAATAATAATATATATGATTGTATTTTGCAAAACACGATAGAAGGGACTAGGTCTCCCATAGCATTAGCATCAATGGAACAGTGTGTCTTACACTGAACTAACAATGGTGGAATATAATAGATAAGAAGAATTACATTTCTTATTTGTATCTTTGTATCCCAATTATTGTTGGGATTATTATTATATTATTACTGACTCTGAGGCAGAATGGGCATAAGGATGCATCCATCTCTTGGCACCAAGTCTTGTCTCTTGACGCGTAATCTCTTTCTTGTCATTGTCTCTTTTTCAATTTCACCTGTCCCAAATAAAATGAAGTGCATTCTCTTTGAAAACCTGAAGTGTATTCTTTTAAGTCTCTAGATTTGGAAAAAAAACGTATCTGGCTTGTTTAATGAACATTCCTTGGTAGCAGTCCCTAATTTCAAAACTTGTCTTCTTTCAGCACTGTTCATGAGCTCAAAGGGGCCAGACTTGGGCAGATAACTGTGATGCTCAGTGGAACTGGAAATGTGCATGCAAATTATATTTCTGGTTAGTGCTTTTCTTTTTCCTTCTTTGATACAAGTGTGATGAATACTCAGCATCAGTAAGCTGGTTGGAAGTGAGTGAAATAACAAAGTTACACCACAGACAGAGTTTTTTCAATGTCAAGGAAGTTTTGGAGTTTCCTAACCACTTGGAGGAATAATACTTTCTTCCTGAAACTCAGGATGTAAATGAAGATTTACTGGGATGTGTATCCCTTGACTCTTGCTAGCTTTACCTCAGTATTTAAGAGGTGCTACAGGAATAAGTGTGACCAGAAAACCACAATGCTTTTTAGAAAGTGGCTTTTTTGAGATGTGACTTTGTCCATTTTATGTCATCCTGGGAGACCAGCTAAAGCAAAGAAGAGCAAATCCCTCCATCACAAATGCATAATAAGGACTGAGGATGGATTATAAAGGTGTGATTCCACATCAGTAAATTCTTTTCCTCTTTCCTATCCATTGTGTCTATGTCAGAAACATTGCTGGAAATTCATCTGGGAAATTAGCAGAATGTTTTTGTTTTACTTCTTTTTGAAGTGTTTTCATGGTTGTAGGTGAGTGTTTGACTTATGTTCATTGGCCCTTGCACAAGAGACTGAAAGCTATTTCCTTTTTCCTTAATTAGAGCATGTGGAGTATCGGGTTTCTGAGCAGTGAATTTCCTTTCAGGAGATAGGTGACCATATGTAGTAGAAGTGGCTGTTTTTGTAGACTTGAGAAGTTGTTTACTTCTGTATTTTATAGATACTTTCTTCAGCCAAACTTGTACTTTTCATACAGAGAGAAGTGCATTATTTTTTCCTTTTTTTTACCCACCTCCCCCCCCCCCCCCGCCCCCTTTTTTTTTTTTTTAATTAAATAGAGAAGTGGGAAGTTAGAAATATCTGAGGGAATTTCTGGGAGGGTGGCCATAGGAATGTGGTGGCAAATGTGGTGAAGGCAACAGCCCAACCCTGTTTTTATGTGCAACTTGATTTCGAGTCTCCGGAGCTGATGCTGGTGAGAAAGGGGATAAAAATTAAATGGAGAGATTGTGTGCTGTTTTTTAAGGTCATGTATTTTTATATCTGCTGGGTTGTCTGTGTGGGTGGGCAGGTATGAATCTTGGTCTGTCTTCTTATGCAATGTTAGAGGTAGGTTCAGGTTGGTGTGGTGCCAGGGCCAGCCCACATCCTCAACCCACACAGCCCCCATGAACAGTTTCACACATCAATCAGGGAAAACCCTCAGCTCCTGGCACCGTTGGAGCAGGTGTCAGGGCTCATGGTGACATCAGATGACTGTCACATTACCATGGGGCAACCACCAGTGCCTGGCCCATGTTCTGTGTACATCAGGCCTCCCTCCCGAAATATATGCTAGTCTGTGGTGCAGCTCCAGCACTCAGATCATCTATAACCCTCCTTTTCTCTTGCAGGTGCTTTGGGGTAGAACAGATGGAAAGAAAAATAAGAGGATGATTTTATAAAATAAACACTCCCTGCAAAATTCCATGCTTTTTAAGGTGTCAACCAGTTATAAACAGAGGGAGAGAGGGAAAACAAAGGCTGTGTCCAGGCAAAAGCAGAGTTGGCTAGATCAGTCATGACCAAAATTTTGGAGAGTTTTTGAAGCACAGACAGATGCTGTGCTGTGGGGAAAAGTTCTTGCAAAGCTGCTGCTTTCATGTCCATTTAGTGCTGTTCTTTAAGCACCAATATTACCCCTTGTTTCCATTCCTTAAAAAGTGAACCCAGAATAAATGAAGACTCATCCTACCCAGCCCTCTTTATTTTGGCGTCTCAATGTTTTGTAGTAGTATACCAGCACCTACCTGTAAATAAAATGACTGTATGTAGTGAAAATACTCTGCACTTTACTCTGTGTCCAGGTAAGTGTGGAAGGCTATCACTGGCTTAATTTGCCCTGGCAATTTGGTAGAGTGTTTCTGGGTTGTATGAGCACATATGAGATAAGAATTCAGTGTCAGCTTCTGTGATTTATATAGCATATAGGTGATTTATATAGGATATCTGTATTAGCCCTGATTTTGCTAAATAGATTTAGTATATTCGATCAAATTATTTTGACATATTCCAGTGGGCAGAGGATGAGATCCAAGGACTGTGGAGGTGGTAAATGCCTTCAGTCCTGTGCATGCTCTTATGACTGTTGGCAGAATGATGTTTTATTATTTGTGGGTGGGATCTCAAAAGTTTAATGTCTCCAGAAATTAAGTTTAAGGTATGTTTCAACCTGCCTGTAGCAGTCTATCCTCTCAGAGTCTGGAGGACAGGATGTATGTGTACCATGCTTCCAGCTGCAGTCTAAACCTTGCTTATGAAAAAGTGTTTGAAGAAACTCAATTTAAATTAAAGGGCTTATTTAGTTATTTTACCTTTACACATAAGTAAGAGATAGCAGGATTTTAAGAAGGAATAATGTTAATCACTATAGAAATCCTTTCTAAGGGAAAAAAATAAGCACTTTTTCATCCATTAAAATTCTGTAGCCTTCTTGATTAGTTGTATTCACAGATATACAAAATTACAGGGTAAGGGCCTGCTTGGGAACAAATTCCCCCTATATTGCCATGCCAACATGTGTTCATGCTGCTCCCTTTCACCAACAGATAGGCATAGCTACCTAGATCCATTAAAGGAGGTGGCTTCAGTGCTGCTGTGCAGTTGTTAGAAGCAGTACAGCAATTCTGACTTCTCAAGGTATTTCCAGCTTTGAAACACTACTTTATTTAGTGATGAAATGTAATGACTTAGCAAGTGTATAATTAAGTATTGCCAAGACTATAGCTTCCATAGATAACGACACAGTTCAGCTATGTTACATAAGGTTTGGTAGGTGTGACATCTGTGGAAGGGGGTCTGAGTCTTACTGGCTTAGGATGTGAACTCACCACCACTGAACTGTTGAGAACAATCTCCCTCTTCTCCTCAAGGAGAAGTCTCCTCTTCCCCCACTCCTTTATTTTTCTTTACTGTCAATAACCTCTCTTGAAAACAAACCCCTAGACAGCTGCTTCAGTGTAATTTTTTTTAATTTTTATTTTCCTATAAAAGCTGTCCCCTGCTTGTTTCATCCTCAGGAGCTGCATGGGTAGTGGTTCTGCTTTAAGGTACAGGAATTGCTTGCCATGCACAACATTGCATGGATGTTGACAGGCTGATGCACAGGAGAATGGCCATGTGATGATTACAAAATAGATGTACTTGGCTTTACAATCTCTGGTTTGCTACTTTAACATATAGATGAGCTCACACTCTTAATCAAGAGGGTAAGGGGAGAACAGGCTGGTACAGATGGTAGAAGAAATCAAGGGAGACAGGGAGAGAGGGAGAAGAAAAGAAAAAAACAAAGAAAATATTTGTCAGCCTTGATAGTGTTAATGAAAACTTAAAGACAGAAAGGAGGAAAGCAATGTTTGGAGAGCAAAGAATGACCTGACAAATGTGACCTCTGTTTTTCCCAAGGGCTTCTGACTTTGAAACCAAAGCTGCCTTTAATGTTCACCAGGTGCCATCAGGGTGTTTTGATTGCCTTTATAGAGGGGAATTAGCCTCACAGCTTCAGCATCTGCATTTCAGTGAACTTCAGGGACAGGGTGTATTCTTGTTCAGATCATAACCCTTAAGGTTCAAAGGCCATGAGCAGCTAAATAATTAATTCTGTTACTTCCACAGGAGGCAATGAACACAGACCTATACTTCACACTGGTTTATCAAAGGAATTTTTCCAGTCCCTGTTCAAACAATTTCTGCCTGAGCATCTCTGAACAGCTAACTGGAGCAACTGGAATGAGAGGCAGACACATCACAGAAGCAAATCTGGCAGTAAGATTATTCCTCATGCTAAAATAATATCCAGAAGTTTGTATTCTGTCAGCTGAAATTACAGTTCAGTTTCTTGGAAGAAGTGAGATGCTATTTTGCTGAAGATATATGCCTCTCTGTCCCCTGTTGTTATATAAGCAAATTGTTGGTACTTATCATCCTCTTGCTGTCTGCTTCCTCTCTGTAGGTAATTGTGCCTCTAATATTACCTAGATATCTCAGCCTTGCTTGTGACCTGAGAGTAGATTTTAGCTCTTCACATAATTGTCTTGTCCTGCACGTGACGGATTTATAGGAATATTGCATATTGTCAATAAAAAGAAACAACTGACTGTTTTTACTCCCCCTCCCCCTTTCCTCTGAGAGCACCAAGAGCCAGCCATTTCCAGACTCTTCCTCCTCCCCTTGTGAAGCTCCAGGAATTCAAGCAGCTTATCTAATCCCATGCTACAGAGGCTGTGTTGCATCAGGGAGGAAGGTACAATAGGCAACACATCCTCAACAGAAGAGTTTTGCTTGGACAAGGACCTAGGGCTACCCAAGGGCCAGCTCAGGATCATTGAATTGTGGGTCATTGGAGTATTGGGGCGAGTAAGATTGCCTTGAGAGGTCCTGTCCTGTGATGACTCTTCAATTTCTTTGGTTTTCTCAGCCTTAGTACTGTAGCAAATACCTGCTTTAGGAAGAGGATATGATGGAATCTCTAACACATCTAGTTGGAGGGCCTTGGAACAGGACCTTATGGTCCAGATGTGCAACAGGATGACCACTGCTTCAGCTCATCAGTCACCTTCAGCACCCAATATCTGTTCATTCTATCATCACCTCCAATACCCAATTATCTGTTTTACTGTGCATTAATTTCAAAGTATAGGATAAGAGTAACTTCAATAAGACATAGGGAAGGGGTTTAATCATATTTGAAAAGTCATGACAGTCCAGTGAAGTTGTCACTGAGTGGAAAAGGGGAAACAAAAGGGAAAAAAGGAAGACCTGAGGAAATGCAGAACAGTTCCTGTCTCACCTCAGTGCCTGGCAAGATCATGGGAAAGATACTCCTGGAAACTGTGCTAAGTCGTGTGGAAAATAAAGAGGTGACTGGTGGCAGCCAACATGGCTTGACTAAGGGCAAATCATGCCAGACAAATTTGGTGGCCTTTTGTGACATGGTTACCATATCGGTGGATAAGGGAAGAGCAACTGATGTAATCTACCTGGACTTGTGCAAAGCATTTCACAATACCACATAACATCCTCTAAACTGGAGAGGAACAGATTTGATGGATGGATCACTTGGTGAATAAGGAAGTGGCTGGACAGTTTCACTCAAAGTGTTGCAATCAATATCTTGTGTCCAAGTGGAACATAATGATGGGTGGTGCTCCTCAGGAATCAGTACTGGAGACAGCATTGTTTAACATCTTTGTTGGTGACATGGACAGTGGGATTGGTGCACCACCAGCAAGTTTGCCAACAATACCAGAATGTCCAGTGCAGTCAACATGCTGGAGGGAAGGGATACCATCCAGAGGGGCCTTGACCAGCTTAAGAGGTGGGCCTTTGCTAAGCTCAAAGTTCAACAAGGCCAAGTGTAAGGTCCTGCACCTTGACTGGGGCAATCCCAGACACAAATAAAGGCTAAATGGTTGAGGAATGAATTGAGAGCAGTCCTGAGGGAAAGGTCTTGGGAGTGTTGGTTGACAGAAAGCTCAGCATGAGCTCGCAAATTGTGCATGCAGCCCAGAAAGCCAGCCATAGTCTGGTTGCATGTACAGGAGTGCGGACACTACATTAAAGGATGGGATTCTGCCCCTCTACTCTGCTCTGGTGAGACCCCACCTGGAGTCCTGCATCCAGCTCTGGGGTCCGCAGCATAAGAATGATACAGACCTGTTTGAGCAAGTGCAGAGGAGGAAGACAAATATCAGAGGGCTGGGACACCTATGGAGACAGGATGAGAGAGCTGGGGTTGTTCAGCCTGGAGACGGCTCTGGGGAGACCTTAGAGCAGCCTTCCAGTACCTAAGGGGAATCTGCAAGAGAGCTCAAGAGAGACTTTGTACAAGGGTTGGTAGTGGTTGGACAGGAGTGAATGGCTTCAAACTGAAGGAGGGTCGGTATAGATTATATGTTAAGGAAGAATTTTTTTTTTTTTTTTTTGTGAGAATGATGAGGCAGTGGAACAAGTTAGCCAGAAAGCTGGTAGATGCCTTTTCTCTGTCAACGTTCATGTGTTTGAGAGACCTGGTCTAGTGGAAAGTGTCCTTTTCTTTGGCAGGGGTGTTGGAACTAGATGATCTTTAGGGACCCTTACAACCACAACTGTTTTATGATTCAGTGATTTGGAATGCTGGTGTGCAGCAAAGATCCAAGAGTGCTGCCATTTGCTGAACTGTACATGATAATGTTGTTAGTAGTTGCATTTCATTTTGTGGCACAAATTGCATTTTGTCCTTTGTGTAAAAGTACTGATACTTATACCTTTGTGTAAAAGTACTATACTGCAGTAGTGCTTCTTATTTAAAGTGAAAAATGACTGCATAAAGCTGTATTTGAATCCAGAGGGACCATTTTATTAATTAGTAAATAATGATATGATGAAATTGAATCATACTGCTTTTTCTATTCCAATTTTTCTTTGATGAATGCCTTCTATAAAAGTGTGTGGACAAATAAATTGTTCCCTTATGTCTCTAAAAACATGTTGTAAATGTTTAATTTTAATGACAATTACAGTTTAGAAAGGAAACACTATTCAAGGACAAGAAGTATAGAAGTAAGATTTTAATTTTATGAGTTTTAAATAAAATATTAGAAACATATTCTGGGATCACAATATTAACATCCATATATATAGATATATATATTTGTCTTGTTAACCTCAAACCATGTTTGGAAATTTTCATGAAAATTTGCATCGCATATGAAAAATCTAGGTACCTGTTCTTTTGACTTCATGTTAGAATAAAAGCCATGCAGTTGGTGAGTGGGATTTAGCAGTGCTACCAGCATAGCCATGTGCTTTGGGGCCGATTATAATCGCTAGGGAGATTGAAGTGTATTGAAAACCAGAAAATCTCGACAAGCCTTTTAAATGAATTGTTGAAGTCCTCTAAGAGGATTTCAGAATGAAGGTATCTGAATGCATTCTCATGTGTGGGAAAACCTGAGTGCATACTGCATTCCTGGGCCCTGGTGTAATTTCATGTAATACTAGCAAAAACTAAGCCTGTGTTACTGTAAAGTGCATATCGACTTGGATAGTGCTTTCCAAATCCATTCAAAACTGTTATTAGTGTGAGGACACTTCTGATGGAGAACATGGACATTCTTCAATTGCACCAAGTGATTTTTAAGGATGCTTCAATACTGGGGACTGAATAATTGATCCTGGAAGAGTATTTCAAAGTAGATTTGAAAGAATAAGAGCAACTGGTCCATCTTGGAAATAATACTGACTTCTTTTTTTTATTTAAGTTGTTTCTCACATGGTTAAAAATAATAATTTAGTGTTTATGAAGTTGTCTCTAGTTTGTGTTCATGAGGAAGCTGCCTCAATATTTACAGCTGAAAGGTTCTCCTACTGCATTCCCAAATTTACCCTTCAGCTTCACTTTCCTGTAATATAGGTCTGGTTGCATTGTGAAATGAGCAACTGATATAATCTTTACTACCTTTATTTCTTTCTGCACAAAGAATTTCATTTCTGTGGTAGGAGAAAAACGATATTTTGAAGTGTTTCCATCAAACTACAGCTAAAAAAATTTAGAAATCAGAAAACAATTCTCATTATTTGCATTAAGAAAATATCAAATAATTCAAATACATACATGGCAAAACAAGTCTTGAAATTTTCACCATGCTTCTGAATGATCACCAGTTACTGATAACGAATCTCTATGTTTATATGAGTGAACAGAGAGAAGCTTACACTCAGATATCCTGGAGTTAGTGTTCTGGATGTATTTTGACTGGTTGTTTTTTTTTTATTTTATACCTCTTGCAAATTAGCCTACAAGATTATGAAGATATAGGCAAGCCAATGAGTTCATGAGTTGAGATGTACCTGTAGATGTGTATACAATTTTTTCATGTTGTTAAGTGGATATGTAATGGAATCATAGAATGGTTAGGGTTGGTAAGGACCTTAAATATCACCTGGTGCCAACCCACCTGCCATGGGCAGGGACACCTTTCACTAATCCAGATTGCTCAGTGCCCCATCCAACCTGGCTTTGAACACTTCCATGGACATCAACAGCTTCTCTGGGCAACTTGTATAAGTGCCTCACCACCCTCACAGCAAATAATTTCTTCCTAATACCTAATTAAACCTGCTCTTCTTCAGTTTGAAATCATTGTCCCTTGTCCTGTCACTATCTGCCTGTATAAAAAGTTCCTCTCCCTCCTTTTTATAAGCTTTGCTAAGGTATTGGAAGGCTGTAAAAAGATCTCTTCTCTGGACTGAACAGCCCCAACTCTCAGCCTTTCCTCGTAGGAGAGTAGTTCCAGCTCTCTGATCATCTGGCAATTCATCAGTATGAACTGCCAGTGAGTTTTAGAGTAGGTCATGTTTGTACTATCAGTTATGTTGTGTCTTTGAGATATAGTGTATTTAACATATTTAATATATGTAAAATATTGCATTTAAAGAGATCTGTGGTGATTTTCTGTGCATATCTGTTACGAAAACTTTTTTTGCAAACAAAAGCTCTTTTTGTTATTGTCCAGATATCCACAAATAAAAAACAAAATTAGAGAATGTGTTGATAATTATTATTTATGTTTGCTCTCTATACCTAGTTTGTTCAAATAACCAATTTACTGCTAGTGACAACATGCTCCCTGACCAGTAATTCCTACAGTCTTAGGTGCAAAAAAGAAGATACTGAGATAGATGTAATTAAACTTCTGGAGGAGTTGTTCATTTTAGTAGCCGCTTCCTTTGAAAATTCCTTTAAGATTAGTGGGGTGTTCAGACCCATAAAGTGAAAATGGATTTGATGACAAGAGAACAGAGGCAGTTCTTACACTGCAGTGCTTACAGCAAAACCAGCTGATGTGGGAGATGACAGAGCTCTTGGGGAGACAGCTATACCATAACTCCTGCATTCCAGGTGCAGCAGCATAAGAAAATAAATCTCTGGATCATCCCTTTAAAAAAAAAAAGTGGTGTTGAAGCACGGTGTGATTTTTTTAACTTGATTATTGGAGTTCTTATAGGAACTTGGAGTTCCTAAGAAAGGGAGAATTAAAAAAAAGTTGGATTCTGAAGTACTGACACACCTTTGGTTACAGCATGTAAATGTAATGGGTGTAAATGTAATGATGTTGTAGACATGAAAAATGGGCAGAGTAGATGGGTACATCTGCTGACAATCTTTCTTTTTAATTTGGAGCCACCTGAAGTCAATAAGTATCTGGATAATAACTCGACCCCCATACGGCTTCCGGTCTTTCAGATTAATAGTGTGCAGCAGGAGAAAGGAAAAAGGAGGCTACTTTTAACTCTGGCTTCTGTTTGCTTTTTTGTGAGCCTGAGAACATTTCCTGTCTTCTTGGTGATGGGAAATGTAACCAAAAGAGGCATCAATGAATGACATTTCTCATGGCTGGCCTTTGACACTGAGTTTTTGGTACCACCTGAGAGATGCTGCAACGTGCATGAAGGGGAAAGAAGGCCAGATCTTTAGCATGCTTTGCAGTTACCTCACTTCAGTGAGTTGTTGGTTTCTGAGTATGTATTGCATCATACCTAGAATATATTTCCCAGTTATAATTCCTTAGAGTCCAGTATTACAAGGAGCAGGTGAATATTGTCCAATAAAATACATATATTTCTGTGAGAGCTATATTTTGAAATAAGGATTTTAACTTTGGTCTAGGATTTATATATAGACTTTCTACTTATAGGTTACACATTTTTGCTTTTGTAGCTTCCCATACTTCCCTTCCTGTCTGTGTTCTCACATTTCCTTTCTAAATTATAGTTATGAGGGAACAACCATTTTCCTTGAAAAGGGCTTTACTTTTGGGATAATAAATGGCCATTTTAAGAAAAGTCAGCAGTTCACAAGGGTGTTGCCGAACATGTGATTATATGAAATGGGACTTTAGGAAAAACAAACCAAAATCAACAACCCTTGGAACCCTGCAGTCTTGAGATGGATAGTATTAGGAAAAAATACCCATCCAACTTGTTTTTCTATGAGGGTTTTGTGCCAGATTTTAGCTCTTGCCCTCCCTTTGTCAAAATAAGTTTTGCAATGCACATTCACCTGCCATGTGAAGGGTGTGGTGAGCAAAGGGGGATGACTGAAGAAGGGCACAACAGTGAGAGAATTTGTACTTTGGCTGTATTTAGTACTGATGCTACACTAAATCACTGTAAATACAGGTTACGAGTGTAGATTAGGATGTTATATCAATATTGGCAACTTTACTAGAATCTGTTGCTCTATTGAATTGCTTAATTGCTTTAATGAGAGAATACACAACTCTTTAGGAAGAATTTGTGAAGGAGACAGTCAAGTCACCTCTTTTTTTGACCTGTAGCAAAAGATATCCTTCTATTTGTTGGAGATGAGAATTTAGAGCTTCACTTTTGAAGGGACACAGGCATAGACAAGTGAAAGCTTCATTTCTATGAGAAATTGTACCGGGGTTTTTTGACTTGGAAAAATGTGAAATACTGAGACATACTTTGCTTTCCATTTCCCCCTCCTTTTGCTTGCATCTAGAATGTAGAGTTTAGGTGGTTCTTTGTGGAATTTCTGTAATTTTTGTCTGCAGATTACTGTGTCTTCTAGTTCAGCAGTGCATGGTAGATACCGTTGCAGAGTAGAACTTTGGCTTCTCACGGGTTTTAGCGAGAATGTGCAGCATGGGTGAACATGGTCCAGAGATCCCAGTGGAAGCAGCTGGAAACTCCAGCCTCTAGACTATGGTTTAGGATGTTGGCAACTCTCTTGATTTCTCTCAGTGGGATTTCAGGCCCTGCAGAAATGCATTACCTGTCCCTACATAGGCAGTGGGCTCATAACATAACAACAGCTCAGAAGTTTCTATGATGTTGTAAGTTTCATTTATGTGCATGAATATCCTAGTTATTTTTAAAAGAGAAGGCTTAGTATTTTACTTTTGACATATTTCTATTCCTCTAGATGTTATTTACAGGGTCAGTTTTGCTGTTATTACTTCATCTTTTGAGAATGCTGGGTAAGGATTACATTTGATGTAGCAAATTCTTGCTGTTCTACATATTGTCCCATTAAATATCCTTCACAGAACTGTATGATGGAGCTCAGTTTGTTTCACTGGATAGTGAAAATAATAAAATTCTAGTCTGAAATAATGATACTGTGATGTTGTTCCATGCTTGAGAGAGATTTGGTACCTGTATTAAACCAAAGCTCTGCTTTGACAGTGGACAGGAAGACTGTTGTCTGAACTAAGAAGTCAAACTTGCCTGGGAGTATCCTCTGGCACTTAGGGTATGGACAGCCCATGATGAAATCATACAGCTCTTACCCTGCAAAAGAAGGTGACCACATCCAATCTTATGGGATTTATCTCTGGGCTGTGTTATTCCCTCGTGGTGCTGGGGAGTCTGCCAAATTTGTGCCAAGAACTTGTCTAAGAACTGAACTGCAGAGAGAATTAAAGTCTACTGTCTGGGTTTGCTTCTTGGTGCTGTTTAATTTGCTGATGAAGAAGAGGTCAAAGAAGAGCGTTTGACTACTTACCTCCAGTTGAGTTTTTTGAGGATCACCACTCCAACTAATGCATCTCATGTGTTTGGAAACTCATTTTGTCTTATCACTGCTGAAGACAGTTACAGTTTTGCATTAAAATTACATGCATGATACTTCCCTCCTTTCTCTTGGAGGGAAAAGAACTAAAATTTGAAAAAACAACCCTATATCACTGGCTGTTATACATGAGTCTTTGGGATGATAGAACTGAGAGAATTTGCCTTTTCCATGAGGTACTTTTTGCCCATCCAGTAAGGTTTCAGAGGATGATATGATTTCTTTTCACCATAATATATAGTAAGCTTTTCTGTGTGCTCTGAGTTCATGCCTGGTGTGTGTGTGTGTGTCTCTGCATATTCACACACATACAGGCATTGCCCATGTGTAGAGGAGGTTTGCAGTATCTATGTATGATTTCCAGTGGTTAGCATTAAGTGACAGTGACAGGTCACATGAGCGCTGGGGCTCGGGCCCAGCAGGAGATGGTGCATGTGCACCTTCAGCATTAACACAATTGACATCCGCTCAGGAGAGGGGTGGCTGGGCCTTTCCTTAGGAAACATATGCCAAAACTATTATCAGAGTCTACGTCATGGCCTGCAGCAAACTGGACAGGATGTTAATGAGGAGGGAATTGTGGAAGGAATCTGAATGCATCCCATATTTTTAAACAGAATGCTGAATGAACAGATTATTTCCATTATGGTGCCCTGTCAGCAATCTCAGTATTTTGATCTTTATCAGGTTTATGCTGATAACAGTTTATTTTTCATTACTTAGTTGATACACATTTGGGGGTGTTTTAAATGCAATAAATAAATAAATAAATAAATGCAAACATCTGGGAAGCTATAAAAGACTGTGGAGCCAGGACAGCTCATTATTTCTCCTTGACGAAGAAATCTCTGGTGCATCCTGTGATGTCTGTGACAGTGTGTAATGAGGCACTCCACTATGTCAAACCCAGAGTCATAATTCTGTCTTATCTGCTGTAATAATGAGACTTTTTGCACTACTGAACTCAGCAGAAGTTATAGGTGAAAAGAAGGTGGCATGTGTTTTGCAAGTATTTACAACAGGTGGAGGCCAAGGAATTAAAATTGATTGTTTTTTTCATTCAGGGGCCTTGCTTCAGAGCCTAGCTTGGAATTCAAGTTGTGTTGATGATTCAAACAATGCCTGGCACTAATTTAATTTCATATTTGCAATTTTCTGTAGTAGTCTTTGTTCAATATGTTATTGCTTACTTTGCTTCTATTTGTTCTTCCTTTATCTTTTTCTTCCTGTCCCTCTCCCCCTCCCTGAAGGTTTGCCTGTGTAGCAAGAGTGAGATAGCTAAAATAAATACCATTGGTAATAATGGCTGTCCATTTAAAGCAAATTTTTAGATGTGTTTTAGAAAGCAAAATACCAAAGCAATGTCAAAACACATTTTTTTTTGTTTTTCAAGATGCCAGCTGTTAGGCATTTGCATTCTTATAGATTGAGCATAAGTTCAATATTACTATTAGTTTGATGTCCCTTGAAATGTTAGGCTGTTTGTTAATAAAATAAATTAAATATGGCCAATGTCATAGCAAGTCCATTTTATAATTAATTTTCAGCTGCCTTTCCTTTCCTGGACAATGGATATATTTTTTCCTACACCTTGGCTAACGTGCAGTAATTAACATGAGGTAAGCTGTAGTTGTAATATGAGTTAGGAGGGTGACGTGGCTCTTGGCCTCTTGGCAAAGTATTCCCATATTCCCTTGTCTTTGTGACGGTTTTACCAAATGTCAGCTCATGTGTGCTAAGAATAGGTCTTGCTGCTCTCTGCCTCAACAGAACTGACCTCAGCCCTGACCTGGAGCTTCCCTGCCTCGAATAGAGATTGTTCATGTGCCAGAACCATTCCAGCCACAGCTACTTAGCCCCCTGAGGTGGAAATCTGTGCCCTGGTCTGCTAGAAATTAGAGCTTTGGTGATGCAAACCTATCGAACAACCCTCGACTGGCAGTCACTGTCACTCAATGTCAAGCTGAGCTTTTTTTGAGGAACCAACTACTGGTAAAGGGCTATTGAAAATATTTTTTGTTTTTTGTTCTTAAATTTTCCTTTGCAAGGAAGATAACTGTTAATATCAGGTACTTAAGAAAGGGAGGAGTTGGATCTGGTCTATTTGTTTTTGCGTCATGCCATCATTCCAGGTGACCTAGTTTAGGATTGTGATGAGATCTGAAGACCAGAGTATTGAAAATGTTGTTTGTGAGAGCCTGTGTGCCAGAACAGTATGGGGTAAAATCATCTTAATGAGATGCTAGGTCATCTATAGAATGCATCTCTCAGTAAATACAGTGGATTTATTTTCCTAGAGGAACGCAATGAACCTCTCACTGGAATTTATTTTTCTAAGGCTGGAAAAAAATAAGTAGATGCTTTAGTTCTTTCAAGGGTTAAGGAGAAGCAATTTTCCGCAGTACACCACAGCTGCAGTTGTCATTGCCAGCCTGCTCTAGATTCACATCTAATGATGGAACATTGGACAAACTTCTGTGTAAATTTCTCCAGAAATAAAATAACTTTTTAGTTTGTTTGAAAAAAATAATTATGGAGATACTGTTTTATTATTGTAAATCAAGATCCAGAACCTGAGAGTCCAAAATACTAATGTAGCTTCCATCTGAAAATTGAGGCCTGTCAGGTGGTATCACATCCACTCCCTTTCCAGCTTTATTTGACCCAAGAGAAAATTTGTTGAAATGCTTGCTAACCTTTACTGACCAAGAGGAGTAACTTAATAAACATGATTTTCCCCTGAGGAGTTTTACTGCCTGGCCTAGGTTTAGATTTCCCTCTTGACATTTTTCTACCCATATTCTGATTCTTCCAAAGAATGCATAAAAGAGACTAGTTGCCTTGAAGTTCCCCTGGAAGAAAAACAATATTTGTTGATCAGGGCCTTAGCCAAACAATTACACTATGCATAAGCCAGTAAGAAGGGCAGACTTTTACTGTTCTTAATTTACAAGGAGAATGTCATAAACCATATAAGTTTTTGTTATCTGATTCTTTATAGGGAAAAGGTGAGGAAACAGAATATTTTTTGTTTTTCCTTAATGCATCCTGCTAGTAAATTTGTACTCACTGCAGATTGTGTTATAAAATGAATGAATAAAAAATGAATAAGGGTTATTTACCAGGAAGTTGCCTTGCTTTTTGTTTCCTCATTCTGATTCTGGTTGATGACATCCTCTAGTTAATCAGTTAATTTCCGTGAGCAAAACTCAGAATAATCTGTTACTGTTTTTCAAACTATTGAAAAAATTAAAATGTTTCCCACTTTTCTGTCCTTGATAAGAGTAGAATCCACATCTATCAAATGGAATGCACGCATGGCTCTATTGATTTTTTTTTTCTGTCAGCCTACATCCATTAACCACAATAAATTCCGTATTGAAATAATAAATGTGTCTTCCCACCAGGAGAATGGCATTGCTTTCCTTTTCACTTTCAGACCTGAGGAATTATTTGTGCTTGTTTGTTTGCTGTGTAAGCATTTCTTTGCAACTCATGTGTCACCAAAATGTCTCCCTTGACAGAAGACCTCCACTTTTTAATTGTCCCACTCCTGCCTGAGTCACTGTGAGTGCCTCAGTCTAAGGGTATACACTAGAAATAGAGCTGATAGCCTATTTTATAGACTTGCAGGCTGAAGTAAACAACACAACTCCATCAATAAGAGGTGAAAATTCAGACACAACTTTATAGATGGTCTAGCTACTGCTAACATTTTTCTTGTTTTTGAAACCTGTGTTTTGAGACACATACTGATACATATGCAAATACATAGATATGTGTGTTTATCAAAACATAAATTTTTTTTGGCTGGTCAGATACCTAATTCTCTACAGAAAACAATGGTAATTAACATGAAGCCATCACTTGTCAAATCAATTTAGTTCAGTTTTACATATGAAATCTGATATATCTCTGCTTTGCCCACTGATGTGTACACTCCACTATGTTGCACATTACTTCTTAACAGTCATGCAAACAGTACCCATCCTTGTACCACTGTTGGACAGGAAATTTGTAGAGCATGGGTTATTGTTATCCAAATAACCTCACTGTTGTGATTTTAATAAAGAAAAGTGAAATGTGGTTAATATGGGATGTTTTGGTATTTTTAAATTATTTTTGGCTTTCCAAGAGCATAGTTCATTTTTCTGGGTCAAAGGACTTACTTCATTCTTAATGCTTCATACTTCATTTTTTAAAGTGTTATTTAAATTGGAAAGAGGTTTTTGGTTTTGACGTGACTTAATATACTTTAACTTCATATACAGAATGTTTTTTTCCTATTGTTCTTTCTCATAAGGTTACTTACAGATAACTGGGAGCATTGTAGCTTAGATTAACGTGACACGGGGTGATGCTTTATTGCTTTAACTTTGATGCAAGGAAAAATTGGAGATTCTGATAATTTGCATAAGTAGTACTTAACTTCCTCTTCCTTGTCATTTTCTAGTCAATCACTTGGAGGTGGACACAGAATAAAACCCCAGCTATCAAGTTCTGACAAATGCATTTTAGAATTCTGTTTTGCATCCCCTGATGTACATCTTCTTCTGCTGATTAAGATTTATTTCCCATCATGCTACATTTTTATCAGCTTAAGGTGCATCAAAGTATAGATAGACAATAATAAAAGACCTTTAACATATGTTTTAGCTAAGGCATGTTAACAGCTCACTTTTAAATCTCCATCTCGATAAAGCCTATGGCACCATTCCACATTGACTTGAGTATAAATAAGGGAAGACTTTTAACTCCATTCTTGGATGCTTGGCCAGGCATCTGTCATATTTTGTGATTTATCGTCTAATGAAAAATTTTGTGCACTATGTGTTAACCAGAAGAACTGAGTCTCTTCTTTTAGAGCCGTATGAATAAGTGGAAAGTCACAAAACTGAGACTTTCGCAGGTGAATTACTGCTGGTAATAAACTTAGGTCTAAATCAAAATATGAATTCGCTTGCTTGCCAAAGATGCAGTTACCAATTTTTTTCTGATAAATTGTTCTGTGCATATTATGTCTCAGTTCCTGTACTGTTCACAATGCACACTCTGTTTTCATTAATGATACATACTCAGTGTGCACATGATTTTTACTGTGGAACCCACAGTAAAGATTTTGTATTTCCAAAGTTGACATGGAGACGGAGTATTCTTCAGTATTTTGTGGCAATTTTATCAGTACAAAAAAAATCCTACGGTAACCTTGAATTTCTTTTTTTCAAAGGGTATTTCTGTCCTGCTCCCTGTTCATTTGCATGATGTTTAAGGGCTTCTGTAATTATCTGGAGATACAAAACACACTAGAAAAGAAAATGAAACAGGAGATGACACCGGCTCTAACCAAAGGCTGATTACACTTCTGAAACACAGGTCTTGGCCGTAAAGTACCTTAAACCTTGAGGAAAATTTCATATCTGTTGATGATTTATAATATTTTGATACACTGAAAAGAAGGATTTCTCCCTTATATAGTGTAATTCATGCCAATAACCCTTTAAAAATCAAAATATAATGTATGTCACAATCAGAGAATTGGGATATTTTGATCTAAACCAATGCAAATGCATTGTTATGTAATAGCAGTAATAATGAACAAAATAAGCATAAGAACAGCTAAAGAAAAAGTATGTCTTTGGTTGTTTTTTTCCCAAAGAGCAATATTTGAATACACTTGCTGCTCATAAAACATTATTGACATGACTTTTATTAACAGTGATAATCACTTCCTGCTCTGGTCCTAAAAGACCATGCTTTTAAAAGCCATATCCCCTTCCAGATTCCTGAAATAGGAAGGGATTCATAGATGGGACGTTACACTAGAAATATTCTTATTTATAGGCCTGAAGAACATATCTTTTACGCTCAGATAGCCTGTTGCACTGGGTAAGAGGTTTTGGTTGGAAATTGCTTTTGGCTTTTCCATCGTGCTGTGAGTTGGATAACATTATGAGAGAAAAGAGATGAGATACAATGGTGGCAAGCAGCAAGTTAAAGACTTACTTAGTCGGTATAATTAGAGAGTATTACAGAAATTGTGATAGGGAAGCATATAGGGATTTTCTATTGAAAAATGTACTTAAAGTCTTTTAGGAATAAACCCAAAGGATATGTGAGTCAATGATAAACAGTATGGTTTCCCACATGTCCAAGATACTGTCCTGTCTCTTGAGGAGATCCAGTTATTTGACCTGAGCCCAAGTACCTAATAACAATATATTTTTAAGTGACTCATCATTGCTCTGGGAAAATGCAGGATATACATGTCACAGCAAGAGAAAATAAGGCAGTAAACTTATATAACATTTTTAAGCCTTCGGAAAAGTTTTGATTTAAATACTCCATTCTGTCACATTCTGTTCTCTATTACCAGGCTCAGTTTATTTCTTCTTTTATTTATTGACAGGATTAAGGAATACATTTCTAATTGTTTTTACATACATTTTGAAATAATTGTGGTTATAACAAATCTTTACATGAAATGCTCAGAAAAGTTTTTGTATGTGCTTAAGAAAAGACACAAAATAGGGTTTATGACTCCTTTGTCACACAGCTGAACACATCTTGACATTATTTAGTCTTTTTTTATTGTAATTTACTCTAAAACCTTTGAACAGTGCAACTCATGAAAATCCAACAATGCTGGAATTAAGGCTGGACCAACATATCTTACTGTGAAAAGGAAGAAAAGGGTAAATCAGCATTCTGATAAAGTTGAAGGTGAGTAGATGTGTTTGGAGGACCTCTTGCCTTCCTCAGTTTTCTAGCCTTCCAGCCTGTGATGTCTGCTACAACTTATAGCTGGAGCTGTTTGTTAGTGGGACTCACATAGCATAAACAAAAAGGGCAAGAAGGAGGACCTAGGAACTACTGACCAGTCAGCCTTACCTAAATCCCTGGAAAGGTGATGAAGCACCTCACTGTGGGAGACACATGGAGGACAAGAAGATGATCAGAAATGGTCAGCATGGATACACTAAAAGTGAATGACATTTGACCATCCTGATTGCCTTTCTATGATGAAAGGGCGTCCTGGATGGATGAGGGGAGAGCAGTGAGTATTGTTTACCTTGCCTTTAGCACGGCTTTTCACACTGCCTCACACAATATGGTGAGAGGCAAACTTTGAAAATGCAGACTGGATGAGTGGGTTGTGGGTTGGATTAAGAACTGGCTGATCAGCAGATCCCAGAGGATCATGATCAGTGATAGGGTCTAGTTAGAGGCGTATCCCTAGTGGTGTCCCCCAGGGTTCTCTGCTGGGCCCAGTACTGTTTAACTTATCCATCAGTGTCTTGGATGAAGGGGCAGGTGCCTCCTCAACTTCACTGGTTACCCAAAGCTGTGAGGAGTGTCTGACACCCCAGAGAGCTGAGCTGCCCTTCAGAGGGACCTTGGCAGCCTGGAGGGATAGGCAGAGAGGAACCTTCTGAAATTCAACAGTGGCAAGTGCAGGGTCCTGTCCCTGGGGAGGAAGAACTCCAAGCACCATCACAGGCTGGGGGCTGACCTGATGGAAAGGAGGAGAAGGACCTGAGGCTCCCAGTGAACAACAAGCTGTCCATGAGCCAGCAGTGGCCTGGTGGCCAAGAAGGCCAAAGGGATCCTGGGGTCCATTAAGGAAAAGCATTGCCAGCAGGTTGAGGGAGCTGATCTGTCCCTCTGCTCAGTCCTAGTGAAGCCACGCCTGGAGTGCTGAGCCACAGCTGGGCTCCTCAGGACAAGAGAAACATGAACCAACTTGAATAGGTCCAGTGGAGGGCAATAAAGATGATCAAAGGACTGGAATATCTATCTTATGAGGAAAGGCTGAGGGAGCTGGACTTGTTCAGCCTCATTCTTGAGGGGGACCTCATCAGTGCCTAGCAGTATCTGAAGGGAGAGTGTCAAGAAGATGATCCAGGCTCTGCACAGCGTCAAGCAACAGAACAAGAACAAATGGCAAGAAACTGATGCACAGGAAGTTCTATCTAAATATGAGGAAGAACTTCCTTACTTAGTGCAAGTGGCCAAACACTGGATCAGATTGCCCAGAGAGGCTGTGGAGTCTCCCTCATGCAATATATTCAAGAACCATCGGGACAGAATCCTGTGCCATATACTCCAGAATTGCACTGCTTGAGTCAAG